AGTTTTTTTTTTATTTTTGAAAAAAAATTAAAACAAAAATAATTATGTAAATATTACCAATCCAATAGTTTTTCTTCCACAAAACTTTTTTTACATTTGCCTAGGCCTAATTGAAATGTTAATTTTTATTTATTTTTATTTTTTTTTGGGGGGGTGGGGGGGGGGAATATAGTACAATTTAAGTCATCAAACAGCTGTGATCAATTTTCGCAATAATATTAATCGTATAAAATACGATGACAGCAAATGATGAATATCGGATTGCCGGCAGGCAGTCTGACTTCTGGTAGATGACCGAAAATCTCTGTCACTTTCAACCGAAACCGAAATTAAGCCGAAAGTTAACTTTTCTGAAGTGGCCGAAACCGAAACTAGGCCGTAAGTGATCAAAAGGCAACATACGGCCCTGAAACCGAAATTCGTTCGGTCTCTACTCTCAAGGTATCCTGTCAAGTGCAGTGTGTCTTTTTGTATTTGTAGGATCAGTGGTTTGGTCTTCGAAAAACTGATAGATCTCTTGGTTTGTACGCATCATAGTCCATCAACGGATCGTGTATTTTCCTTATATGCATAAATTATGTAGATGTATTGTATAATTATATGAAAGTTTTCGTTTTACTGATAAATACATCTGACGAAACTTTTAAATTTGTATTTTGTCTAATCATAATTCAACCTTACATATGTTTTTTACCGTATCCCTGTCCAACTTACTTAAAAGCAAAATAAAATAGAGAAAACCATCATATTTGGTATCTAATGTTAGCACTGATTGCATGTTAATTATTCGCTTTGTAGTGACTCAAGGTACTTTACGTTCTGAATCTGTGAACTCTGAATGATCAGATTAATTAGCGTCATCACAAAGACTATGTACTGCTGGGGGCCAGGATTCACACATCAGCATCTGCCCTGGTTAAAAAGTATGTTATGTTAATGGTCTTTGAAAGGCTTGTGAGGTTTTGAAATGCTAACAGCTGGCGCTATTCGGTTCGTCAAGTAATGTCAAGCGATAGAGGTAATTGGCAAGATGGAGGGGGGGGGGCCGCGTAAAAAAAAAAGGGGGGGGGCGTAAAAAAA